GAGTGAGGGACAAAGGGGAAAGAGCCTAGCATCAGCGGGTTCCCTTTCATCACACCACAAGAGGGGAAGTAGAAGGTTCCCCTTTCACCGAGCCCAGTTCATGCCCCCTCACCAGCTGCTGCCCAGCAGGAAAGTGGACTGGGCTCTGTCAAGAATGGGGTAAGGAACCCACCACCACCCCTGCCCTCTTCACTAACGTGGTCTTGAGGAAGTGGCAGCAGGCTTCTGATATTTCTGAATACATATCTAATTTTCAAATCTTAATTTTCAATGAGTTAAGCAGCGTATAAAGAAATTAATATATGTAGCCCACATACAATTCAGTGAGATAAGTTGACTATTAATGAAGCAGCAGCTACATTTAAAAGATCCGGTGAGATAAGCCGACTATAAATACATGGTGAATAATATCTTGAGCTCTATATGCATAAACTCTCGGATTCAGTAGCTCTCTTAATCATACTAAAGATAGTACAGTGATTATTTTCAAAGACCTAAACAACACCACAGTTACAGTAATCCGTAACATTTTGCATTCTATCTCCGTTATTATCAGGATGCTTCTGTTCCCCTTCTCCTTTCTTATCAACAGGAGTTAATGTTCAAATGGTAAACCTTTTTTGTAGTTTAAATGGATGTGTTACTAAACAATGGTCACCTCGAGATTGGACTACTGTAATGCTCTCTACATGGGGCTGCCCTTGTCTCAAATCCGGAAGCTGCAGCTGGTGCAAAATGCTGCGGCCAGGCTGTTGATGAGACTCCCAATCCGGGAGCACATCCAGCCCGTTGCTCAAGGCACTACACTGGCTGCTGCCGATAGCATACTGAATTTGTTTCAAGGTGCTGGTTCTCACCTTTAAAGCCCTTTATGGCCAGGGGCCTACATACCTGAGGTCACCTCGTGATTGGTCACCTCGAGCCTTTCCCCACATGTCCCCCAGAAAGCACTGCGTTCAAGGGCCCAGAACCGATTGGCCCTCCCGGGTCTTAGGTAGGCCAGGCTGGGGACAACCAGGGCGCGGGCCTTCTCGGTGGCGGCTCCATCCTGGTGGCATGAGCTCCCAGAGGAGATCAGGGCCCTGTGGGGACCTCTTACAGTTCCGCAGGGCCTGTAAAACGGAGCTCTTCCGCCAGGCTTTTGGAGCCACCAGCACTATTAACAACTAGGACAAGAAGCCCGCTGCCCCAGGATGTACAACAGCCTGTACTAGCAGCTGGGAAAGACACCTGAAGACCAGTGTTCCCTCTAAGCTGAGTTAGTGTGAGCTAGCTCACAGTTTTTTAGCCTCCAGCTCACACATTTTTGTCTTAGCTCAAAAAGGACGGCACCAGAGCAAACTAATTCATGCAGCAGCCAAATCGCTCTCTCACAGCTTTAATGCCAGTAACTCACAAAGTAGAATTTCTGCTCACAAGACTCCACAGCTTAGAGGGAGCATTGCTGAAGACATCTATAGAAGATCTGCGAGCCGGCCATGGGAAGATAGTTGATGGTCGCCACCATGAACTTTGTTACTGGAATCTAATACTTATTAGGGAATTGTAGTTGTTTTAATATTGTTTTAAATGTCTTCTTACATTATTAAATATTTTTGCTGATTTTATGTAAGCCGCTCTGAGCCGGCCTCGGCTGGGAGGGTGGGGGTATAAATCTGAACAAATAAATTAAAACAAAAATTCCCAGTGTGTTCTTTCTCAGAGTGTTCTTCTTTCTCAGTGTGTTCTTTCTGTCCTTAGGCTGCGGATGGGGACTTGATGGAGGCCGTCGAGATTCTCACTGAGGGCCAGCCGAAAGAGTCAGTCCAAGAACCCTCCGACTGTGCTACAGAACCATCCGACTGTGAAGGGAGTGTTGTTGGCAGACAGCAGACAACGAGTAGGTGACCGTCTTTGGGGGCGGGGTATTCTTCCCCTGGAATGCTTTTATCACTGGCGCATTTAATCAGGAAGGTTAGATGCAGGGTGTAGAAACCCAGTCTCAGAAGCGTCAGTTCTGTTATACAAGGAGACTGCTCTGGAGGGAGCTAATTGGGAACAGCTCAATTTATTGATTGATTAAAACATTTGTGTCCTATTTTTCCTCGAGGTTCAAGGCAGCTTACAGTAAAGACCTATACGTTGATTGTTGCTGAAACGATTAGTGGGTTGGTCGTATTGGCTTTTACACTGTGTAATCCGCCGTGAGTCTCATTGAGAAAGGGTAGACTATTAATAACATAAACAAATATTGGAAAGGAACCTCAAAAATCACCATTTTTAAAACTGTTCAGTTACGTGGACAAGAGCAGAGCAGTTGTATTACATGAGGAAAACCAGCTTTTGTGTGCTGGGTTACAAGTCAGTTGTTTTACCGGCTGCATGCCTGGTCCTAATCCAACACTCCACAGACATTTAAGCATGTCTGTATGTTCCCTATGGATCATCTGCTTCCTTTGGCTAGTTCTGTGGGGGAGGGGAGCAGCGTGGAATAGTTACAGAGCAAATCAGTGTTTGACTGCAGTTTTCTGTCTGCGAGAACCTGTGTTAGGGAAAGGTTGTGTTTGCTTTGAGAGAGCACCTTTATCGCCCCTAGGTACTGATGGTTGCATTTGTTTCCAGGTACAATTGATTCAGTACCCCATAACCAGGCTGATCTGCAGAAGTGCAGGCCATCGAGAACCCAGAAGTTTCCAGATATTTCCACCTTCCTAGAGGATCTAAATGCAACAGTGAATGGGTATGCTATATATCTTTTCTTTCGGTATTATCTCGGTGTGCATCAGTAAAGGACCTTCAATTATAAAGCCGTTTTATGTACTCTCTGGAAAAATCATCTTACCCAAGTTTTGTGTGTCGACCATCAGTTCACTTCCGATGCCGCTCTTACACAGCCCGGCCCACTTTCCATGTAGCCATTTCAGATAACTTGGGATGTATGTCTTGCAGTGAACTTTCCTGTGCGTGTGGATGGAGGATGGAAAGGGCCATCAAATTGCAGCTGACTTTATGGCAACCTTGTAGGGCTTTTCAGGCAAGAGACGTTCAGTGGTGGTTCTGCCATTGCCTGCCTCTGCGCAGCGACCCTGGTGTTCCTTGGTGGTTTCCCATCCAAGTACTACTCTAGGGCTGAATCTGTTTAGCTACTGAGATTTGATGATGATCCGGGATGTGTATGTATTGTGGATGACTCATGCTGAGTGCCCATGGGTGGTTGTGACGGAATTGAAAATCTGGGACCAGCAGAATGTTAAGATAGATCCCTGCTGAGTCACATGACGTAGAGGGGAGGGGTCCTTTTGGCTGGAGCACTCCCTGAGTGACAGAAAACGGACCTAACTGACAGTTGGGAGCTGACAGCTGGAGGAGGGTTGATCAGTGGAGTTAGCAGAGAGCGGTCAACTAACTGAGGAGCCCTGTGAAGGAAGCAGACCTCTGTAGCTCTGTGTGAACAGCCTAATAACAGTTGGAACAGATAACTGGGGCTGAATAGTCTGGATTACTGAGTCCCTCTAAAGGAAAGAGGACAGTGATCAGACTGGTGAAAGGTTAAACACATCAGTTGTCACAAACACCCAAATGCATTGCTCCTAAAGTAACTGGGAGAGGTGGTTAAGAGAGGGCTGAGGAACGGTGTGGCAGAGTCAGGACAACCGGTTGGTGGCCAGTTGGGCTCAAATAGGAGCCAGATCTCGAATGTCAAAGGTTAACCACAAAGCAGTACAGGAGAGTATGATTAGGAAGGTGTTTAGTGAATTGTTTAACATCTGTGGGATACTGGAAACAACAAACATACTGCCGAAGTGTAAACCAAGCCAAAAGTTCAAGTCTGAAAAGAAACAAATTATCCTCTGTATATATCTTCCCATCCCCCTGTTGTGTTTTCTTATAAATAAAGCCTGTTCTGTTTTGAAGTTAACAAGCCGTGGTGCCTAACTCTTTAATAAGTAAAACAAATACCCCAAAGAGACTTTTGCAGATTTGTGTAGGGGACGGGTCAGGGAAAAATAAAGTCTAGGTCCGGACACGCAGACCCTAACAGAACTGGGAGTATAAAGGGGGTTCGTGTCATAGTGGTCGTCTCTCTGCACTCACACTCTGCATAGCTGATCATGGCAGTCTTCTATGAACTTAGCATGGTTTCCTGCTCTAATGGCAGGAGTGGGGGGAGCCATCTTTACCAGAGACACTTCCCCCTCTCCAAATGTTTGGTAGTGTCCCATCAGGAGCAAGGGAAATTACATTGTGGACTTGAGTGAAACAAAATGACTTTGAACCCCTTTGGTTATACAGTACGATTCCTTCGTTTTGATGCACTGTGTTTCCTGCAGAGTTAATGAGTCAGGTGTGGCAGAAAGTAAAAATCGTCCCAAAAGAAAACGGTGTGAAGTCTGGGGGGAGAGCCTCAGCCAGAATGGGTGGAGGAGAACAGGCGACTGGCCCGTGGGAATGAAGAACATCGGAAACACTTGCTGGTTCAGTGCAGTCATACAGGTATGTTTACGCTACTACTTCAGAGTGGCTTTTGGATTTGTGGCAGTACCTAGCCTGTGCTTTTTAAGGTCAGTTGAGTGACTCTAGGTAAAGGTTTCCCTTGCTCGGAAGCCAGTCGAATCCGACTCTAGGGATGCAGTGCTCATCTCCGTTTCCAAGCCGAAGAGCCAGCATTGTCCGAAGACGTTTCCGTGGTCATGTGGCCAGCATGACTAGACGCCGATGCGCACGGAACGCTGTTACCTTCCCACCGAAGTGGTACCTATTTATCTACTTGCAATTTCTTGCTTTCGAACTGCTAGGTTGGCAGGAGCTGGGACCAGAGACGGGAGCTCACTCCATCATGCAGCACACTCGGGTCTCGAACTGCCCAACCACAGACCTTCCGGTCTGCAGCTCAGCGTCTTAACCACTTGAGCCACTGCAGCTCTTGTAGAGTGTAATTCCCCATGGAGTGCTTTTGTTACAATGAATGAAAGACGTATGCAAAAAGTGTAGCTGATATTGTGGCTCTCACTAGCAATGTGGGTATGAGATCCGTATGTCACTCTGATATGATAAATCAACAAGGACCAGTGCTGAAAAGTGTTGGTGAGACTTTGGCACCATCTTTCTGCCTTCTGTGAGATGGGGAGTGAGAGAAAGGACCACGGGGTCCCATTCACGGTGGACAGAGGAGATTGGAAGCATTGGAGAGGGCAGGTGCAGCCCTGCCATGAGGGATCTCTGCTTGGATGAAAGCACCCTAAAGGGCCATCGATAGCAGTGGGAGACCTGATCATGTGAATGATCTGCTCCAGGTTTTCATGCTTGTCCTACACAAGTACTTTCTGGTTAGGGAATGCAATAACTTCTGAAGCCGCCATGGCAACTGACGATTTCGAAAAGGTGGTGTCTGTAAAGAACTGAGATCGGATTGCTTTGGTCAGAAAAGGCAATGATTTAATTTTAATATTTTTTTTGGTCAGTCTCTTTTCCACTTGCCAGAATTCCGACATCTGGTCCTCGGCTACTCCCTTCCAGACAGCGTCCTTGAAAAATGTCAAAGCCGCAGTGTAAGTGCTCTCTGAGTAACGGCAGGGTACTTTTCTTTCTAGATCTTTGTATTTCAGTTGACTTAGTGTAAAATTGGATTGCAGGTGCCTGGATTTTGGTGGCATACATTGATAAGAACATAAGAGAAGCCAATGCTGGATCAGGCCTATGGCCCATCCTGTCCAACACTCTGTCACGCAGTGGCCAAAAAATACCAGGGGCCATCAGGAGGTCCACCAGTGGGGCCAGGACACTAGGAGCCCTCCCACTGTTGCCCCCCCAGCACCAAGAATACAGAGCATCACTTGCCCCAGACTGAGAGTTCCCATAAGAACATAAGATAAGCCAATGTTGGATCAGACCAGTGGCCCATCCAGTCCAACATTGTGTGTCACACAGTGGCCAAAAATATCAGGTGCCATCAGGAGGTCCAGCAGTGGGGCCAGGACACCAGAAGCCCTCCCACTGTTGCCCCCCCCCAAGCACCAAGAAGACAGAGCATCACTTGCCCCAGAGTCCCTATCTATACCTTGTGGCTAATAGCCACTGATGGACCTCTGCTCCATATGCTTATCTAATTCCCTTTTGAAGCCACCTCCTGTGGCAGTGAATTCCACGTGTTAATCACTCTTTGGGTGAAGAAGGACTTCCTTTTATCCGTTCTAACCCAACCGCTCAGCAGTTTCATAGAGTGCCCACGAGTTCTTGTATTGTGAGAAAGGGAGAAAAGTACCTCTTTCTCTTCCTGCTCTTTCCCATGCATAATCTTATAAACCTCGATCATGTCACCCCTCAGTCGTCGTTTCTCCAAGCTAAAGAGCCCCAAGCGCTTTAACCTTTCCTCATAGGGAAAGTGTTCCCTATGAATGCCACCTAGGTATTTTGGAGATGGCACCCTGGTGGGAATGTCAGCTGTGAGGACGATCAGAGGGCCTCGCTCAGCAGGTCTTATCCACCAAGGGAGCCCCTTGCAGGTGCTTCCTTGGGTGCCATAACTGATTTTGCCTTCCCATAAGGTGTTCTGTAAACTGGCCATCTGTCATAACGTGTGCTTTGATAACGCTTGCTGCCTGGCCTGCTCTGCCTCTCCTTTCCCTGAGACGGTGGGCCGTGTTTTCTCTCTTTCAGAAGAAGAGGAACATCGCATTCATGCAGGAGCTTCAGTTTCTCTTTGCCTTAATGCTAGGAGCAGTCCGTAAATTTGTAGACCCAACGGCCGCGCTGGAACTTCTAAGGGGTGCATTCAGATCTCCTGATGAGCAGCAGGTGAACTGTCACTCCTTTGCCTGTTTGGGTGCTCCCGTGTTGCCCATAGCTGTCCCGCACCTTTGCTTCCTCAGGATGCAATTCGATAAGTTCACGTCTCCATCTGTGCCAGGTCTCTGTCAACACGGAAAGGGAGGGAGTGGGTCAAAACTCAGCATGGGTGGAGTGCAGGGGTGGGGGGAGAACTCTCCTACGCTTTTCAGCCTGATACTAGATAGCCATTTTTCTCCCTCTGCAGAGTTTACCTCTAGTCTCCAAACTCTGCTTGGAGAGTGTGTGTGTGTGGGGGGGAATGGTGGTGGTGGGGGTTCTGCCAGTTTTGGGCTCCTCTTTTGGTGGTTGTTTGACTCTCTGATCCGCACTTCTTTCCAGCAAGATGTGAGCGAGTTCACACACAAACTCCTGGACTGGCTGGAGGATGCTTTCCAGTTGGCCGTGAACGTCAAGTGAGTCCTAATGCTCTCACTATTTGCTGGATGGGAGGGGAGAACTGCAGGCTTCATCTTTTCGCTGGGCAGGGCATTGCTAGATTATGCCGGTTACTCCTCATCAGGGCAGTATCTGTCTTCAGTGCTATAACAAGTTTATCGGCTGCCTCTCTAGCAATCTGCTCATGGCCCTTATTGGGGGGGGGGACTTTCACGGGTGGAACCTTTGAATAAAAAATCCCAGCTTGTGTTTCATGCACGATAAAGCTCATTTTCCAGGGAAATCTGGGGGGTTTCCAAACTGAATAACATGCCCGCTTTGAATGCTTCCTGTTCACCTGAACTTATCAAGTGCTGTAATTCTTGGGCCCACATGTCTGTTCGGCTAACAGTGGTACCTTCTTCTAGCACAAGGCCTCTTTTTATTAAAAGATTTCTGTGCTTCCTTCCCACCTGATCGGGGTCCCCAAAGTGGTGCACATAAAAAACATTGAAACAGTTGAATGATTAAAAACAATATTGGAGATCATAAATTTCCCCCCTCAGTGAAAGAGGAAGGTGGCGCTGTTGGTGGAGCAGAGCCTTGGGATCCAGCTCATTGACGCCAGGAGTTCAGTGCCGTGCGGTTTTCTGTCCAGAGTGCCTGGCAGATTCCTGAAGTTTCAGCATTTTGGGTCTCATTGGGGTGGTCACCGTGTCTGGGCCGTGCCACTTGAAAGGTCAGATCAGACGAGCCCCTTAAAGGTCAGCAATACGGCCCACTGGTGTACTTGTGTGGTTGAATAGCAGGTGTGGGAAGATTTGGTGGTGTGTGCGGACCACAGTCAGGTCCCTGCTGACTTAACAGCAGCCCTGTGAATGAATGTTCTCCAAAATGTCCTCTTGTTAACAGCCTCGCTCAGGTCTCGCAAACCCTGGGCTGTGGCTTCCTTGATGGGGACAGTCCATCTCACGCTGGGTCTTCCTCTTTTCCGGCTGCCTTCAACTTTTTCCTAGCGTTCTTGGCTTTTCCAGCGACTCTTGTCTTCTCGTCATGTGACCAGAGAACAATAGCCTCAGTTTGGCCATTAGATATGATTGGGGGGTGCTTAACATTTTTGCCCTACCTAAAATGGGCTCAGAAGTTGCCTAACAGGACTAATTTCAGCTCTGGGGAGACTTTTGAGGTCCAGAAAGCATATTGGAGGGGAGATACCCCCCCCCACAGCTTTGCTTTGATATCTAAAAGGCTTTTGTGGAGCTTCTAGTGTCTTGTCTGGGGGTCAAACCAGACTGCAGGTGGGGACTGATGTGACTGGCAACTCCTCCTGTACTGCACATGAAAGACCAGCATGTGGGCTGGAGAAGGGTTCCAGCCTCGTCTTCACAGCACACTTGTTTTGCTTTCTCCAAACAAGAAGTCCTTTTCATGAGGAGCCTCATCCTGCAGTCCTGGCGACAGCCCAGACACAGTTTATAGCCTCGGTGGGCATTTGCATTAAGGCTTCATTTTTTTTCCTCGTTAACTGCGAAATCAGCATTAACTACACTTCCTCCGTCCTGTGCATATATTGCTGTGACTTTCTTAGTTGCATTTTAAAATGGACTCCTGAATACTGTTTTTAACGAACCTTCGGAATCTTAATTGTGCAATCCATATCCCTGCTTATGTTGAACTTGTTGTGTCTTCAGCAGTAGCCCTCAGGACAAGTCCGAAAACCCAATGGTTCAACTTTTTTATGGGACTTTTTTAACGGAGGGGATTCATGAAGGTAAGCTGGAGCAATGTGGGTTCACTGCTAACCTCGATACAATAGATAACCTGAAAACAAATTGCTTAAGCGAATAATTGAAATTGCAGTTAAAATCATTTCATGCTGACAGCACTGTAATGTATGCAAAATGCTTGCTTGCATTTCTTGAATACAACATGGAACCAATATATTCCTCGCTCTGTCTTCCAGACTTAACACGGGGGTGTCAAACATAAGGCCCAGGGGCCAAAATCGGCCCGCCCAGGGCTCTTATGTGGCCCACGAGCAACTAGCGCAAGGGGGGGAACAGGAGACTGCTTGAGGAGGAATGGGCAGAGCCACTCCGATTGTGGCTTCAGCACGGCGGAACAACCTTGTCTGCAGCAGTCAAGCAGTGTGGGAGTGTCTGCCCAATGCCGCACTGCTGGCTCTCTAGTCTACCCATGTGGATTTTCCTTTGCCCACACACACACACCCCAGCCCATGGGGCCTTGCAGTGAGGATACAACAACTCAGAGTTTACCAGCTGCTGTCCTTTATACAGTTTATATCTCCAGTACCTGGCATTACATTTTATGGCACACACGATCCGGCCCGACAAAGAGACATTTATGTCAGATCCGGCCCTCATGACAAATGAGTTCGACACCTCTGTCTTAACAGGCTTTTAAAGAAGTTCCCATCTCATCTTCCATTTTGATTGGATCTCCTTTATTTAGCATACCTTTGTTTAAAAATGGCATATGTTTTGTACATCCTGGGATGAAAATTTTGTAGACTTAGCCTTCATACAGACCGGTGACTTACAACAAACACGACTGTTTTTAGTTTAACAGGCAGCTGAATCAGGTAGCAAGTTTTGGGGGACATTCCCTGTCTGAGACGGTAAAGAGTCACTGCTGATAAAGAGCAGGCTGTGCTGAGCTATGCGGATCAATGTCCTGTCAAACAGCTACACCCTTCCAGAGGAAGCAGCTGTCTTAGACTGCTGTTCCGGCTGCAGCCAGGAGTCTTAGGCACCTTCCAGACTAACAAAATATATTGTGGCATTCAGCGTTCGTCTGATGAAACAGGCTGTGGCCCACAGCAACAGGTGCCATGATATAGTCTTCAGGGCTCACGGGTCCACCAAGACTTCGTTATTTGGCTGCAGCCTCGTATGTTCCTAAGTGGCACTTGATTAGTTCATGAAGCGTCACTCTCGCCTCAACTCCAAGGTAAATTAGGAGCAAGAATTAAATCAAGGGAGCAGGAAACAGCCTTGAAGGCTTGTATTAAAGATGCTCCTTTTCACAGCCTGCTTGGGAAAAGACTTGTTTGGTTTAGTTCTACTAAGAAATTACTGTTGGGGTCTCTGAACATCTTAAGCACATAAGAGAAGCCATGTTGGGTCAGGCCAGTGACCCGTCCAGTCCAACACTCTGTGTCACACAGGGGCCAGAACCCCCAGGTGCCATCATCTTTAAAGAGACCTGCTCTTTGCAGACTGGCTTATGACTCTCTTCCCCTTTGTTTAGGCAAGACCTTTTCCAAAATCGAGACCTTTGGCCAGTATCCCCTGCAGGTAAACGGTTATAAGAACTTGAACGAGTGTTTGGAAGGAGCCATGGTAGAGGGGGAGACCGAAGCGCCACCTTCTGATCGATCAGTGAAATATGGGCAAGAGGTCAGTGGTACATATCGCTGGCTTTTCCACTCAGCCAGAGCAGTATGAAGGCAAAGTTGGACTTTGCAAATGTTAACGTGTGAAGAATCCAGTTAAGCCCATGCAGTTGATGTGCCATGGAATAGATGAAATGTACATTTGCTTTGACATCCACTGTTGAAGCGATATATAAAGCTTAGCATGCTTCTGTTGCAAAATCGCAAACATCCAGCGTAGCCTGCATTGGGAAGCTTACCTTGTGTAGGAGTCTGCTTGTGTTTTTAAATGTGATTAAGTCTCTCTCTTTTTATTGAAGCCTACCTGTACCTGAGTAGGGGGAGAACTACTGCCTCCATATTTTCGGAGGGTAAAAGTACAGTACATAGCTTTATGGTATGCCTTTTTCATAATTTATATTTTCCCCTCTTAGTGTATGTTTCATTTTCATTCTGACTTTTTTATTCTTCCTCTGATCTGCCTTTCTGGTTTTAAATCATGCCTCAGTCACATTCTGCTTTTCTCTGACGTTTTCAAGTGATATTCTATTGGGTTTTATAAATGCACAGTGAAGAGTGCATTGGGAAGATGGTTCTCCCCCTCTCCCCCCCCCCAAAAAAAATCCCTTTCTTGCAACTAGCAAAAGACTTGAGAGCCTTTCACACGTGAGATCTTTGAATGGGGAATTTGAAACCGAGGCAAAGATAATGGGCTCCTTTATAGTTCTTAAGGCTTTTCTGCTCAGTACTAGTGGTTGTTGCTGGTTTGCTCTTAGATAAAGTTGGTTGGGTCTTGTGTACTGGATTGCGGAGGGGTCAGAGGTAGATCACCAGCCCCACTTGGTCTCCTGGTATAAAATAAATAAAAAATGTTCGCAGTTCTTTCTGGATCTTCGTCTCTCTGTTTTCTTTTTGCTTATTTTGCTCACCAGTAAATGACAGAAGGTGCATTATAAATTGGGGGGGGGGGCGCGGTGGAACCCAACTTTAGTGAGTTAAAATCTAATTTGAAACTAATGTGAAACTTTATTTTCATGGTGGTAGATCACCGGGGAAAAATAGATCACTACCTGTTCGAAGTTGGACATGCCTGATGTACATCACTGCTCTTGCTAAGGATTTTCTGAGAGGGTGTATTTACACTCCCTGTTCGAAGTTGGACATGCCTGATGTACATCTCTGCTTTTGCTAAGGATTTCCTAAGAGGGTGTATTTAAGAGGTCCACTTAAACTCTGCCCGTTCTCGAAATATGCACTTTTATAGTGAACGAAAACCTGGGCTATTTCGGGTTCTTCGGATTTCCTTAGTCCACTCTCAGACAAGGAATGGGCCGATCGATTTGTTGGGGGTCGAATAGACCTGAAGTCAGTCTCAGAAGCTGGGGGGGGAGGGGGGAGAACCTCTTTGGGTTTCATTGAGCAGGACACCAGCTGCAAAGGGGGGCCTCGAACACCACAAGGCGCGATAGACAGCTTGAGGAATACTAAAAAGTTGGAAATAGGGGGGCCCCTTTTCCAGATCAATTTGACCCCACTTTTCCGTCTGGGATTTTAAGAGCACAATGGGCCAGCTTGGCTACAAATAGCTCCCAAGGAGGGTGTGTGTTCTGTCGTCATGCGAAGCTTTCTTGGCAGTTGACGGCGGAGGTCTATTAAAAGCCTGGGAGTCAGAAGTGCTGGCTGGGTTTCTCCAGTGTAGCTTTTAGAGCAGCTGTTGAAAGGCTTTCCAAATAGGTGGCGGTGATTACTGGGGGACTCGTAAGCCTTGTAGGTGGTGATTGTGGGAAGTAACCCTTTAACCCTCCGATACACACATACCAAAGGTAGACCAAATCAGCCCTGAAATAAGGACTCACTGATGCTCTGCCTAGGCATGATAACATTGATTTGTTTCCCCCCTGCGGCCTGAGCATTACTTTCTGAGATGAACATTGCCAGTGGACATAGTGTAAATGTTCCCCGTACCTGCATGTGTGTATGTGTACTGTGTTAAGGGCTTGTAATCGACCGTCATCCTGTCTACTCACAGCCTTTCTGTATCTGCTTGCGTTCCAGCGCTGGTTCACAAAGCTCCCTCCGGTGCTGACCTTTGAGCTTTCCCGGTTTGAGTTCAATCAGTCACTTGGACAGCCGGAGAAGATTCACAGCAAGTTAGAGTTCTCACAAGTAATTTATATGGACAGGTAAGCAGTGGTATAGTACATAAAACGACCCCCTCGGGTCCTTTGGCATATCACAGAGAAGGAAAGGTCATCTTCTGGGGGCTTCAGACTTCCTTCTGGTTCTGCCAGAGGGATCGTGACATGAGTGAGTTGTGACGGGGGCCCTGAGGGGGGGGGGATCCTGCCCCTTCCCCTATGCACACTTCATGCAGTGGAGATTCCTTCTTTAGGTTCCTGTATAGCAACAAAGAACTTATTCAAGCCAGAAGGGAAGAAATCAGGAAACTGAAGGGTCAGATAGCACTTCTGCAGCAGAAACTGGAAAGGTAGGTAGCTGGTTTTTCTAATGTGGTCTCTGTACAGAGCACAGTATTTATATGTGTGGGGAGCAGCCACTGATCCGGACTGGCAATATCCCTTGTTCCTTTTTTATGCTTATTTTTAAAAATTTATATCCCACTTTTCACCCTATTCAGGACTGAAAGTGGCTTATCAAATCGTTTGCTCCTTCTCCAGCTTATCCCCAAACAGCAACCTTGTGATGTAGGTTAGGTGAGGAGTTGTGATGAGTTTTTGTGGCAGAGTGGGGGAGTCAGACCCGGTTTTCGCAGGCCCTAACCCACCACTCCAACCCCTGTGCCGCTCTGAGTCGTCTTATTCTTTTCATCTGAGAGCCAAGTGTGGCTTAACTAGGTTGGCCTGTTTTACCCCTTCATGGTGTTCTATCAGAGAAAGTATGATAGCAGCAATCCCTCCCTCTGTACAGTCACTTTGATATTTTGCAGCATAAAGGACCGGTAAAGGCCTGCCATTCAAGTTCTTTTGGAGAATAACACCCTGGTGCATACACCAGATATCCTGGAGGACTGTTCCAGATCACTGTATCTATTAGCCCAGTAGCAGGGGGCTTATCTATAGGGGAGATTTCGACCTGGAAGTGGGTTAGGGACGGGTAGAGTTGCACAGTCCTATATTTTTGGGGTCAGGGTGCTCCTGTCTCGCCCTGGGCACACAGCAAGCTGTAGTGTTCAAATTGCTGGGATTCTTTCGATGGGGCAGAATATTGGACCTAGAGTCTTGAATTCCCAGCTGAGCATGTCTGTGGCCCATCCACATTATTCCCACTAAAGTTTGTTTTATATGAAAATTTGGGCAGTGCAGATGCAATTCCATTGTTGGTTTCCCCCCCCTTACTGGTCCATTTGTGTTTTACTTTGTGCCGGTGGTATCCTAGTTGACATTTTTAATTTTGAAACATAGATCAGACTTGCTTACCTGAGGTTTTAAAAGGCAACTGTCTTTTAAATGGTTCACTATGATCCTTGTTCGCATCTTCTAGTGCTAAACAAAATAAATCATGCCGTAAAGCAATACCAGCGTTGGGCATGTGACTAACAAAGCGTGTGATTTTATGGATATGCCGAAGGTATAGAGGACGATCTGTCACTAATTAAACCTCTTGCTCCATTCCTGTTTACCTGATTTCGAGAATACGGGGATTCACTTAGCTGATCTCTCGTGCTCTTTTTAGATACATGAAATACGGATCTGGCGAAGACCGCTTCCCCTTGCGGGACATGCTGCTATATGTTCTTGAATTTGCAAGTACAAAGCCAACACCAGCAGAACTCCAGGTCAAAGGCCACACTCCCATGCATAGCAGGTAAAAATGGGGTTGTCCATTCAAAGGGCACAAGGCCCGTTCCATCAGGTCTTCCATACCATATTCATTTTCATTTATAGTCTCCCTTTCTCACTGGGACCCAAGGTAGATTACAGATATTTTTACCACCTATGCCCTGTGCCAATATTATTTCCAGCCTGAGCCCGCCGATAGTGGAACTTACTGCTGAGTATATGTTTTCGTATGCACTTTATCACACCTGTACCGCCATTTCTTTGTAAATTGTTTTTAATAGCTATGTTGTGTGTTTTTATATCGACATATTGGCAGGGAGGGTGGGGTAAAATATCAAATGAATAAATATGATAAAAACTCCCCCTCCAACCCTGAAATGCTTTAGAAGGTGATGTGATGCCATAAAACGGTGGCAATTTCACTGTTCACTTTGCTTGTTTTGTCTAATGCAGTTTAAAGTGCTGCATGCCATGATTGTAAATGGTGTCAACAACTTCCTGCCTGTCTCCTTCATAGGGGGGTAGTGACGCAAACAACCGAGAATGGAGAAGATGCTGTAGACGTCTCTTACCCAGAACTAGTGGATAGACCTTTCCAGTTCCCCTGGGACCCTGTGGAGATTCCAGAGCACCCAGCTCCCCGCGTGGTCACGGAGGATGAGATCAGTCTTGTTATGACCTGCCTGCAGCGGTGGAGGAAGGAGGTTGAGCAAGACATACAAGGTCTGTGTCCTTCATGTAACAAGGTTTATTTTATTTATTTGCTTCATTTATACCCCGCCCTCCCTGCTGAGGCAGGCTCAGGACGGCTTACATAAAATAATACACAAATAACAGAAGATCCACATAAAATCAACTAAAAACAGTTCAGTTAAAACAATTCAATATTATTAGGTGCTTGCGATGACTAATTAAATACTTAGCGATGGTGTACCGTATGAGTGCCAGCAAAGAGCTTACTAAATATTCTGCTCAGTGATATAAGCGGCGGCACAGGCTGTAGGTGTCAAAGCCAATTACGATTGTTGATAGAATGGTGGCAGCAGCTCCTTAGCTAAAGGCCTGGTGGAAGAGCTCAGTTAGTTAAAGGCCCTACAGAACTGCAAAAGATCCCTCAGGGCCCTGATCTCTTCTGGGAGCTCGTTCCACCAATATGGAGCCGCACTGAGAAGGCCCTGGCCCTGGTAGTAACCAGCCTGACACCCTTGGGACCTGGGAGGGCCAATCAGTTTTGAGACCCTGACCGTAATGCTCTCTGGAGTATACAAGGGGAAATGCGGTCCCTCAGGTATGTTGGACCCTGGCCACATAGGGCTTGCAGATATAGAGTATGATTATGGCATAGCCTAATTGTGCCCCAAGAAAATGCCAAATGTACATACATCCGTACAGCTTACAGGAACCATCTTATTTTGACTTTGCACATTTTATTTCAAGTCCCTGGATCTGAGAACTTTGCAAGGTATTGTATAGTAGCAGGAAGAAACCTGTGACTGTTGGGAGCCTAGGAATGGAGGGGAAGCAGGAGTGGAGGCTGTGGGGGCGGGGGAAGTTGTCATCCAGGGGTGCAAGCAGTCCGTGGACAGGGCCGGACAGGACTGCTAGCAGATTTTGCCTGCGTGTATCTCTCTACCTGTGATGGGTAGAAGCTTGTTTTAGAACTGTTTGTGCCAGATATCAGCCGCCCTGAGCCCGTTCGCGGGGTAGGGCGGGGTAGAAATACTCTAATAAAATAAATAAATTTGTGCAAACAGTTCCACGCTGATAAAATCAGATTTGTATTTTCTTGTTTCCTTTTCTGCGTGAAGCGCACTATCGCAAGTGCAGGTAAATATTTTATTTCCCCCATTCTAGGGGCTGCTCTCCTTGAGCACAAGTCAAAGCCGTAACTGTGGGGACCGGTGTTCCCTCTAAGCTGTGGGGTTTTGTGAGCAAAAATTCTACTTTGTGAGCTGCCGGCATTAAAGTTGTGAGTGAGCGATTTGGCTGCTGCACAGATTAGTTTGCTTTGGAGCCATCCTTCCTGAGCCAAGACAAAAATCTGTGAGCTGGAGGCTAAAAAATTGTGAGCTAGCTCACACTTAACTCACCTTAGAGGGAAGACTGGTGGGGACATGCAATATACCGCAGCTACGTTGCCCACATGCCCCCGGCAGGAAGAGTGCATGCATGCAGCCGCGTGCGCATGCAAATTGTAACCAAGGGTAGAACTGGAAGAAGTGTGTAAGGGAGGGACGCAGCCACGTCAGAGATAAGTACTGAAAGCTGTGTTTTGGCTGGCAGGCCTGCGGAACTCCATTGCCCTGCTCGCGGAGACCATTGAGCTGATGTACGCCGATCCATTCCTCGATCAGGTAGGTGGTTGAACAGCACACTGGGAGCAGGGTCCTTCTTGGAAGCAAACCTGCTGTTTGTGCATTGGGGGGGGGGGAGAGAACTGCGCTTGTTTGGGCCCAAACCTCTGTATGATTTCATGTCATGCACTCCAGTCCAGAAGGACCCCCAAAGTACCGTTCTGTTTCCCTCCCTTCCAACCTAGCCGTCTTCTGGGGTGCCATCTCCTCCCTAGGCTGGGTCTTACTGGGCTAGTGGGGTTGCTCCAACTTCCTCTCAAACAGTCTCACGGCCTCGGTTGTTCAGGTGTCTGGCTGCTTCTCCTCAATCCTCCCCTCTACCCGAAAATGAGGTTTCTTCTGTCTGCCAAATAGAATTAAGGAGGGAGGAGCGCCGTGGCTTCCAACAAAGTGCCGCGCAGTGGCAGCCGCCTGCCCGTCACCCAGCTGCTCAGTCCCTGGCTGGTTTGCCAGTTCTTGTGCCAAAGCCATTTGCGTTTTGTCCTCTGGGCAAAGTTAGACATGCATATGCGTTTAAAGGCTAGGTTGTATTAATTAGGATACCATGCAAATGGCGTAATCGTTTCTTTGCGATAAGATTGCTTATGGCTTTATAATTTTATGTCTGGCACTGATCCCCCTTCTTGCCACTCGTATCATTGCTCTTATCGGGATTACTCTGCTTGGGGGGGGGGGGGAGTCTGCGGCCTGTTAGTTGAAAGACCCACAGCTGCATCCTCCAGGTCTTGCCCTGAGGGTTTCATGCCCTTCTCCTTTATGCCATGAATCCTACGCTTGGGTGGATTCTGAACTGTGCAGAACCTGCCTCTTGGCTCCTCTCCTCAGCAAGGCTCAAGTTTGAAGAGTCTGGTTTTATTTGTGTAGTTCCTGCGGCCTCCTCCTTTCCCGGTGACTGGTGGCTTGTATTTGATTCCATGGTCATAACATTAGAGAATCACAGCTCAGATCAACAATTGCAAAAGGCCAAAAAAGCTGTGCTATATGCTATAAAAATATTATATTGTGATTATTTTAACAATTGCAATGGAACAGTGCATTAGCAAACGATTATAGCATCATCATAGCAAGAAGGGAGTCCAAGGTGTAGCATTTGGAGTTAATGAAGTTTTCCGGACTACCAAGCCGTTTTGAAAAACTTCCTCTGAACTGGACTATCTCATATAGTTGTCTCCTGGTATCCATTGATTGTAGAAATAAAGTCTTTTTAAGAACCAAATCTATTTTGTGTGGCTATTTCTGCGAAAAGAGCGATCTCCGCAATTTCTGCATAATTCCTAAGGTAACTATAGTTGTAAACGGGCCATCTGAAAAGCTTCTACCTCACTGTTCTATTGTAATTGTTAAAATTGTTAAAAATAATCAATACAATATTTTATAGCGTATAGCACATCTTTTTTTGTCTTTTGTAATTGTATTTGATTCCAGTCACTTACAGTGTCTCCCAATCGCTTGGCTTCGATCCTCAGATTTTACGCTGTCGCGACAGCTCTGAAGTGCTGCTTGCCAGCTTCTCGAGACGGGTCGCTGCAGCAGGGAAGGCAATCTGCCTGGCAAGCCAGGGCTGTGTGAATGGTGGGGAGCCGTTATAGGCAGAACAGCTGGGAATGTCTCTGGCTGAATTTCCCTTGAGGTCTTGTTACTTCACCTGCTCAAGACAAGCCTGAGAGCCTGTGTTTGTGGGTGGGTGGTTGGGTGTTGCGTCTTTTGCAGGTCCCTTATCATTTGCACGCCGTCCTCGTCCACGAAGGCCAGGCCAACGCTGGCCACTACTGGGCCTACGTCTACAACCCGCCCCGGAAGAGCTGGCTGAAGTACAACGACATCTCTGTGACAGAGGCCTCCTGGGAAGAGCTGGAGAGGGACTCGTTTGGAGGCCTGAAGAACGCCAGCGCCTACTGCCTGATGTACATCAATGGACCGCTCTTCCGCTCTGCCGCAGGTAATGGCGCTGCAACGCTTGCCGGAGCAGCATCTGGCTCTTGGCTCCTGGTCACCTGTGTTGAGGTACCTGGCCTTGGCTCCCTTTGTGGAAGGACCATCTCGGCTGGCTGGCTGGCTGGGAATAAATTGTTGTTCCTCTCGCAGAGGTCTAGCAAGGTCCTTTCTTGGAAACTCTCCAGTTCCGTGATTCTGATGGGACAGCTCCAAATGATAAGCCTGCAAGGCCAAGGTGTGAGGCGCTGGGCTTCCCTCAGTCTTGGTCAAAACAGTGACTAGCTAGTTGTAAAAAGTAAAGGTAAAGGTTCCCTTGCTCGAAAGCCAGTTGAATCCGACTCTAGGGTTGCGGTGCTCATCTCCGTTTCAAAGCCGAAGAGCCAGCGCTGTCCGAAGACGTTTTCCGTGGTCATGTGGCCGGCATGACTCAACACCAAGGCGCACGGAACGCTGTTACCTTCCCACCGAAGTGGTCCCTATTTATCTACTTGCAATTTCTTGCTTTCGAACGGCTAGGTTGGCAGGAGCTGGAACTAGAGACGGGAGCTCACTCCGTCATGTGGCACCCGGGTCTCAAACTGCTGAACTACTGACCTTTCATAGCCTGCAGTTCAGCGTCTTAACCACTTGAGCCACCACCGCTAATTAGTTGTAGCAATAACTAATTGTGTGTGTGTGTGTGTTAAGTGCCATCAAGTTGCCTCCAACTTAAGGCGACCGTATGAATTTGTGACCTCCAAAAGGTCTTAACTCTAATAGCCTTGCTCAGGTTTTGCAAACTGCAGGCCGTGGCTTCATTTCTTGAGTTAATCTTTGTCATGTTGGGTCTTTCCCTTTTCGGGGCGCTTTCAGCTTTTCCTAGCATTATTGTATCTTCCAATGAGTCTCATCTTCTCATAACGTATGGTAGCCCCGGTTCAGTCATTTTAACTTCTAGAGAGAGTTCTATCAGATAAGAAGAAAACTGGAACAGTCTGCCAAGTACCCCTGGCAAGTGAGTGTTTGTAATTGCACAGGGGTTCCATATGGGGCCAGGATACTGGACAGAACGTTCCAGTTTTCCTAGCCTAGAGTACCAATGGTGTGCGCTTTGAGGGCCGATCTCATAGGTTGTGTTCCATTAAGTCTGCCGTGCTGCTCTCCAGAAAGTTTAGTGGAAAAGGATAAGGAATGTCCACGGGCCATCACACAGCGATTGGGCCTGGGAGCAAAAAGGCCTGCATCCTGGGTAGGAAGGGGAGTCCAGCACATGTGCCAGGTAGGCAGCGCCTGGGGTGGCAGGAGGGGATGGATGGGGATGGGAGCAGCCACAGCTCTGGAACACAGTTGCCATGTTAATCGGTGGTGGCAAAACCAAACAGTCTTGTAGAAGAAGAGATTGGATGTATACCCCGCCCTTCCCTTGGAGTCTCAGAGCGCTTACAAACTCCTCTCCCTTCCCCTCCCCACAACAGAGGTAGGTGGGGTGGAGAGAGCTCTTTCAAGAACTGCTCTTTCAAGGACCGCTCTTGTCAGAACTATGGCTTGCCCAAGGCCATCCAGTGGGTGCAAGTGGAGGAGTGGGGGAATCAAACCCCGTTCTCCCAGATTAGAGTCCGCGCACTTAACCACGACACCAAACTGGCTCTCAAACCAAACAGTTTCATAGTAACCTGTTTTTTTTTGGGGGGGGGGCTCCTGAATCAAAAGGTGGGGCTTAATTTTTTCTTTCCAGCCTTAGCGGTGTAGGTTAGATGCAACTGGGACATGTATGTAAGATTTGGGGATTAGCAGAGAGGACACATGAATCTGAAGGCTGGTCAACTGGAGGGCATAGGACAAGCACTGTATGGGCTCCTTCCTTGTGCGTGGTGCACATGTATCCCCCGCACAAGGTATAGTGTGTGCAAATTAAAAATTGCAGAGTGGCTTTTGTCACTGCCCGTAAGTCCTATCCAGTCTTCCCGAGTAACTGGAGAGAGCCTCCAGGTGCCAGTAAGGGAAGAGTGACTGACTGACTGCTCCTGGTGGCAGTGCCTCTGCTGTCGGTCGGGTGTGAGAGCAGATGAGCACCTTCCGGCGACTTGTTTTCCCCAGCAGAAGAGGACGACAGCGGGCACTTCCAGAGGGAAGTGGAAGTTCTGAGTGCAGAACTGCAGCGCTACATTCAAGAGAACAACTGGCGGGTCGAGCAGGAGATGGCGGAATGGGAGGAGGAGCAGTCCTGCAAGATGGCGCAGATAGAGGAGTCGGAGTCCTCCGTCGATTCTCAGTATCTCTCTACAGACTCTGGGCAGGGTAAGAGGCACTTGCTCTCCAGGCTGGCACTCTGCGCTGTGTTGGCCAGAAACCGGTCGGTGCGAGCCCCTTCTTCCAAGCTCTGATGTGCCCACCCCGGCTGCCTTCCTGAAAGCTAACGGTCGGCCCCCTCTCTTTTCCTTAGAAGCACCCTCACCCTCTGAACAGGAGGCGCGCGCTCTCTCTTCCGAGCACGCCATGATCTCCAAGGACCAGACGGCTCGAGCCATCGCCAACACAGCCGACGCCTATGAGAAGAACGGCGTGGAGGCAGCTCTCGTGAAGGTGAGAACCACCCGCTGCTCGTGGCTGGTCCCGCTTAATGCTGCCTTCCTCTCCTGCTCTTGCGTCTGCCTCTGCTCCTGCCACACCCAAGCTCAGACTTCCTGTTTTGCTTCTCTGTGTCTCTCATTCTGTCCTTTGACTTGTTACTCTCCCCCCCCCTTCTTGCCGTGCTGCCACAGTCCAAGGGGGCGGAGCCAGCAAAGGGATTCCTGGAAGAAGCCGGCCTCACCGCTCTGGCCGAGGGGCAGCGGGAGACCGTGGGGGTGGCCCCTGCTGCTCCTGCCCCTCCCGCCCCGCCCAGCTCTCAGGTCTCTGAAGTGGAGATCCCCAGTGTGGGCAGGATTCTCGTGAGGTCGGACGCGGACGGTTATAACGAGGAGGTAGGCGGCTGAGTGCAGCCAGCGCCTCGGTGTGTTGTGTGTGGCGTGTGGAGTCTTCCGGCCCGGCTGCTTTGGTGCTTCTGTGTGCCAAGGAGGAGGTGAGGGGGGCATCACGGCACGCGCCGGCTCTGCTCTGAACTGGCGCCTCCTCTTTCCACATGAGAGCCAAGAATTTGGCTCGGAGGCCAGTGAACCACAGCACATTGGAAAGCCACCCACTCGCTTTGTGCGGCCGTGAATCGTGCTTCTCGCTTGCCTGACCACAGACCATCTCGTGGTGCATGTCCACACCGTTCAGCCGCGGTCAGTAGTGTTGTGGTGTCAGTGCCTGAAATCTGCATGTGTGGAAGCCCAGAGTGTGATGCATCCGGGAAATGAGTCCCACTCCCCACCTCATACCTTGGCTGTTGCCATTTCCTCCCATACCCACCTCTTTCTGTTCTTTGTGGCAGGTGATGCTTAGTCCCGCCATGCAGGGTGTGATCCTGGCCATAGCTAAAGCCCGCCAGACCTTTGACCGGGACGGGTCTGAAGCAGGGCTAGTTAAGGTACCTGCCGTTTTGAACCTGGGCATGCAAGTCTGTCTGTCTGTCTGTCTCAGTGGGGGGACTGCCGGTGCCTTCGTGCCAGATGCCAGCAAGCCATCTTCTTTGTTCTCCCTTGGGATGTTTTGCTTATGCAGAATTTTGTCTGTTTGGGTCATGGGAGGACAACGTCCTCTGATGGGTAACATCAAGGAAGCAGGAGTTTAGAGGTTTCTGGAGGAGGAGGAGGAGGCCTCTCAGTCCCCCCCCCCCATCCCCACAGAGGTAACAAGGCATTCAGGGTCTGGTAAGCCCCAGCATTGCTTTGCTTCTCCCTAACTGTTTTTGTCTGGTTCCTGGGTGGGTTCAGTTTTGTCTTGCCTGGGAAAAGTACCAAACAGAAGAAGAAGAGATTGGATTTATACCCCACCCTTCACTACCCGAAAGAGTCTCAGAGGGGCTTACAATCTCCTTTCCCTTCCCCTCCCCACAACAGACACCCCCTGTGAGGTAGTTGGGGCTGAGAGAGCTCTGCCAAGAACTGCCCTTGAGAGACAAGCTCTGAAAGAACTTGTGACTGGCCCAAAGTCACTCCAGCAGCTGCATGTGGAGGAGTGGGGAATCAAACCCAGGTCTCCCAGATTAGAGTCCATGCTCCAGTTTGGTGTAGTGGTTAAGTGCGTGGACTCTAATTTGGGAGAACCAGGTTTGATTCCCCACTCCTCCACTTGCACCTGGCTGGATGACCTTGGGCAAGCCATAGTTCTGATAAGAGCTGTCCTTGAAAAAGAGCAGTTTCTGTCAAGAGCTCTCTCAGCCCCACCTACCTCACAGGGTGTCTGTTGTGGGGAGGGGAAGGGAAAGGAGTTTGTAAGCCGCTCTGAGACACCTTTGAGTAGTGAAGGGCGGGGTATAAATCCAATCTCTTCTTCTCTAATCACTGCACCAGACTAGCTCTCAGCAAGGCTGCAGCGGCTGCAGTCCTGAGCAGAGATAAGCATTGTTTTGGTAAAGGGCAGCATGGGAGAGATGGTTGTTGCAAAAGGGTCAAAGCTTGGCTCTTGCCGAGATTTTTTTCAGTCAGGTCTGTCTTAAGTCCTATCCACTCCTCCTCTTAAAAGGCAAATAACAGCCATTTCTCCATTATTAGGTGGCCAGGTCTGATGCCTGTATCGAGGCACCTGCATGTTGACCAGCTTTTCACTTTCCTACTGTACTTAAATTTCCCTGTGTTGGACATCCATCTGACGCTTAAGCACTGGCAGCTCACATGTAGAGATGATTTCTAAGGTGACATTACAACTTAAAATCCTGTATCAAGTGGATGCTACATCTAGATAGAAAGGTTTCAGAGTTGAATACCCTCCCTATGATGTAGCAGTTTGTTTTCAAGTCAGCCCACATTATTTTACAGATAGATAGATCCAACGTATGTTGCTAAAGCTTAATCCTAGGGATGGGCACAAGCTTAAAAAGCGAAGCCAAAGGGACCCCACCTGAACCGACCAGGAGAGGGGGGGGATCACCTGGGAAAGGTCAAGTGGCTGGCAGCCATTTAACCCATCCATTTAGCAGTGGGGGGAGTGAAACTGATGGGTTTAATAGCTCATAGCCATTTCAGCCTAACAGCTCAGCTGCGGACCTCGCTCTGCTCAGCTGTTAGGTTTACATGGCCCTGAACAGCCAAACTGAACCAGACAAAAGTTTGGTAAATGTTCAGGGAAGGCACCTTCCCTGAACATTGGTTCGGGGCCTCCGAACCAGCTCAAGTTCGTGCCAGATTTTGTCTTGTGAGCCGGTTCGTGCCCATCCCTACTTAATTCTGTTTCATAGGGTTCAGGAATTACAGTCCTTTCCTCTAGTGCTAGAGTCATTCCTACTCAAAGGAAAAGGAGCATTAGCTGTGTTCAGAAGCTAAAGGTGCCTTCCACAGCACACAAGGCCCTAGGCTTGCAGATTCCCTGTGTCTTGTTGAGTTAAAGTCCCTCCCTTGGCTAAGAATGTCTTCAAGTCGCCTCTGGTTCCGGAGATCAAACACTTGATATGCAATGCGTTCCTGTAATCTCAAGCTCTAAATCCCCAGAGGGGACTCCAGAGCACTTTCTAAAGGGAGTCCACATATTAGGAGTTCTTTGTACCAGTGCCGCAGTGCCCACTCTTTGGAGGGGAGCATTCGATCTAGCTGGGTTAGAGAAGTAACATTCTAGAAATGTTATACCCGTGGAGGAAAAAGAGTTCTTCCGTTTTTTCATGGAAAAATGGATTTGAAGAGAAATTAAAATACATGCAATACTTTCCTATCAAAACACCTTTTGCTGCTTTAGAAATGTATTATGTGTAGTACAATTAGCATAAAACGTGTTAATTGGCATACTTATGGCATTAAAAAGTATAAATGTCATACTTTCCTGGAAGCAAATTTGCAAATATACCCAACATTAAAGCAAGAGGTAGCTGCAAAGTGCTGAACCCCGTGCTCTCTCACCACATTTCATTCATTCCAAAGAGGTGGGGGGGGGGATAAATTATGTAGGCAATTTTGTAGTATTCTCCCAAACATCCCAGTTTCTCTCTTGGGGAAAAAATGAATGCTGTACATCTTGAGTTAAACCTAGTCTTAAACATTTCACTCTAAAGTAGAGGGAGTTTTTTGTGTGTGTGTCCCCCCCCCCCAGATTTCCCAACTTTTCTCATCTGGAAAACAACGACAAGAAAGTGTGGCATTTTCCCCAAATTTGTCTAGGCCTTAACATGTCTAGTTGTGGTGCTTTTCCTTCAGCTTGAAGCATCCCTTGAATGGAAGGTTTTAGAAGAAGAACTATAATGCCCAAAGTGTTGCTACACCTACCTGGTGTCTCTTTGTGTGGGTGATACGCATTCCCTCCCTTTCGTGAAATGCTGCCAGACTGTGGCGCAGAAACGGATTGGGGGGGGGGGGAATTTCTGGCTTTCTTTCTGCTCATGGTGAAAATGATACCCTGACTATCAGAGGAATTTCTATCTGGCGCTCCACTCAAATAAAACGTAGGGTTACTGTCCTGTCACCACCATCCTTCTTTGGAAGGAAGCTTATACAAGTGATTGTGTAAGCTCAGAGAGTTTCCTTGGCACAGTTGAGTTTGCATGGGGCATGTCAGCATTTGGGTTTTACAATCCTCGCTACGTCCTGCCTTGGAGTAGATGGAAGAGGGTCCCTTGTGCTTTCCTCTCCATGACCAGGAAGGGCTCTTACAGGAAGTCACTGGTCTTTTTGCACACACATGATGCTTCCGCCTCCCAGCCACAATTAGAGGTGCTAGAGGTGTCATCAGAACAGCAGCTTCAAGGGAACAGAGGGCCTCGCTGATGTTCGTCCCTGTTCTGCATCCAAGAATCCCCTTGGTGCCTCAGAAGGGTCTTGCCTTGGTAGTTGTGGCAGTTGTTTTCCTCGCACCACAGAGGCAGGGCCCAGTTGTGACCTGCTCAGCAAGGGTCTTGTGTCTCAAGCTGTATCCACACAGTGGTGGTTTTCTGTGTAGCTGCATTCATGTGGTAGTTTTCAGCATGCTTTCCTTAGGTCAGTCACTTCCTGCTGCCATTTCCGTCCATGCCATTGGAGGGCTTTTCCAGACTTTCAAAAAGGCATTGGAAATTGACAGACTGTTATGGATCAGCACCTTATTTTCTACTTTTCTAATCTGCCTTTCTCACCAAGACTCAAAGTGGATTACAAAACTCAAAAAACTGCAGTAATGTGTTAAGACAGTGCAGCAAGACTGGATGGCAGAATTAGAAAACAAGCAAAACCCCAGATTGTTACATATAAAATGAAGTGAAATCTAGATTACAGTGAGTAGAAAACAGTGTGGGGAAAACAGGATAATGAAGTTTACAAAATGCATTAAAAACCACGCCAGTCTGATCCCTTAGAGTCCCTGCAGTAGATCCTGTTCTTGGGGAGGAACCATGGCTCAGTGGTAGAGCATCTGTTTGGCATGCAGAAGGTCCCAGGTCCAGTCCCTGGCATCCCTTCCAGTTTAAAGGAGCAAGCAGGGGGGTGATGTGAAAGACCCCTACCTGAGACCCTGTAGAGTTGTTCCCAGTCTGAGCAGACAAGACTGACCTGGGTAGTCCAAAGGTCTGATCCAGTATAAGGCAGCTTTATGTGTGACCGTCTGTGTTTATAAAATGCCTTCCCAAACAGTTCTGTTTTATATATTCTACAGAATGATAAAGGTGTCTGAGCCTCCTTGACTTCATCGAGGTTGTTGTTCCACTGGTTGGGAATCCCAACAGAAAATGCTCGTGTATGAGCAGCTGTTGACTGTCTGAACAGACCTGTCATAATGGGGCCTATTGGGAGAGGGAGTCCCAGAACATAGCAATGTATCTATAGTGGGAAGACAGTTGTATTTGTTAATTGACATAATGCGGTGTCTTAAAATTGGTGATTGACCCTCCCACAGCAATACGCCAGTTACCGGGATGTGTGTTTGGTTTCTGAAGCTTTCTGGTGGTGCAGCCACAGGGAATTAAGCCCCCCAAAAAATACTGATGTCGGCGGCATCTTTCCCAAAAGAGCATACAAAACCAGGTTTAGGGAGGACTGCAGCAAAGTTAGGGAAACTGCAGGAAGTGGAATGTTTAGAGTGTAATGTCATTCGGGTTCTTCGGTTCTGACACAAAATGGGGCCAAAACGCCCGCGTGGAGGCAGCTTCAGTCAGGCTCTCTATGGGACTGGGATTCCTGCGCGTGACAGACCTTTAGCCGGAGGAGCTGTTGCCCGTGAGCGTAGGCCTCTGTGGGTTAGAGCTGCTCTTCGGTAGATGCATGGCCGACTGAGCTGGTAACTGTGGTCCTCCGTCTCTTGGCTTTGCTAGGCCTTCCATGAGGAATACTCCCGGCTGTATCAGCTCTCCAGAGAGACCCCCACCCCTCAGAATGATCCCCGGCTTCAGCACGTTCTAGTTTACCTTCTGCAGAACGATGCTCCTCAGCGGGTGGTGGAGCGGACTCTTCTGGAGCAGTTCGCAGACAAAAACCTCAGCTTCGACGAAAGGTTTGATCAGTGCAGATCACCGAAATGTGGAATAGTAAAGTGGCGTCATGTAGTATCAGAATATGGAGAGGGGGGGCCCATTGCAACTCTTCCCATTGAGGCCTTGCTTAGACTTTTATTTGGGTTTAATTTTGGCACCTACCGTTAAAGGAAAGGGGGCAGGAGACCAAGACATGATCAGTAAGATACAGCAGAGATGCTAAAATATTGTTTAAACAAACACTTCTTCCATGTTTCCTGACACCAATAAAGCATAGTTGTCTCACATAACTCATTGCAAAAGCCAGATATTTCAGTGCTTTGAGCTCATGGGCAGAACAAGTTAAGCATCTAAATATCTGCCAGTTTGGTGTAGTGGTGAAGTGCGCGGACTCCAATCTGGGAGAGCCGTGTTTGATCCCCCACGCCTCCACTTGCACCTACTGGATGACCTTGGGCAAGCCATAGTTCTGATAAGAGCTGTCCGTGAAAAGGAGCAGTTTCTGTCAGAGCTCGCTCAGCCCCACCTCCCTCATAGGGTGTCTGTTGTGGGGAGGGGAAGGGAAAGGAGTTTGTCAGCCGCTCTGAGACACCTTTGGGTAGTGAAGGGCAGAGTATGAATCCAGTCTCTTCTTCTCTTCTGATTTGATCCTTTTTTTGCCGTCAAGTTGCAGCTGATTTATGACCGCCACCTTGTAGGGTTTTCAAGGCAAGAGATACTCAGAGGTGGTCTGCCATCGCCTGCCTCTGCATAGTGACCCTGGACTTCCTTGGGGGTCTCCCATCCAAACAGTAACCAGGGCTGACCCTGCTTCGCTCCTGAGATCTGGGGCAATCCGGCTGGCCTGGAACGTCTAGGTCAGGGCCAGTGTTCCCTCTAAGCTGAGTTAGTGTGAGCTAGCTCACAGTTTTTTGGCCTCTGGCTCACACATTTCTGTCTTAGCTCAGGAAGGAGGGCTCCGGAGCAAACCAATTTATGCAGGAGCCAAATCGCCTGCTCACAAATTTAATGCCAGGAGCTCACAAAGTAGAATTTGTGCTCATGAGACTCCACAGCTTAGAGGGAACATTGGTCAGGCCAATAAAGTATTCCAGCCTTTAGGTGCAGTCGGTTGAGTGCCGTTAAGTTGCAACCTGACTCACGGTAACCCCAGGACCATGGGATTTTCAAGGCAAGAGGCATTCAGAGCTGGTTTCCCATGGCCTGCCTCTGTGTAGTGACCCTGGACTTCTCTGGTGGTCTCCCATCCAAGTACGAACCAAGGGCAGCCCTGCTTATTACCCTCTGAGATCATCTCAGGCCAGCTGGGCTCTCTGGGCCAGAGCAGGTCCTCGACTGGAGCCTCTAGCTCTCCACAGTTGCTTATTTCTGTATCCTTTTCCCCCTGTGAACAGATCGATCAGCATCATGAAAGTGGCACGAGCCAAGCTGAAGGACATTGGTCCCAACGACATCGACATGGACGAATTCCGGGTAAAAGGCTCGCTGGCCCTGGCCCCGTGGCTTGATATTTCAGTGCTGACATGTTAAAACAGCATCTGGGGTTTTGGTGCTCTGATTGCCATGACAACAGATGTTGCTGCGAATGGCACTAATTGGCTGCACTTGCGAGGTGTTGGGATCTGTGCCCATTTTTTTAAAAGAAAAGAGCTTCTGTGTGTGCGCTCTGGATCTCTCTTGATTGTGAGTGTTCATGCACAGACGTTCTCTCGTGTGGAGCATTGGAGCAACAGGAGGAAGGCAGCCAGATAACGCAGTAGTGGGGGGGGGGGCAGCTTATAGGAACATACGTGTTGTGGTGGGTTTTTGACCGCTTGCTGTTTCCGGACAGAAATGGCACGAAGACTACAGTTTGTATCGCAAGGTGTCTGTATACCTGCTGACGGGTTTGGAGCTGTACCAGAATGAAAAGTAAGATTGTGTAAACTGTTTCCAAACAGGGGTGCTGAAGGTGTCCATGAGTAACAGAGAGTGTAGCCTTCTTGTGTGGTGGTACCCTCAGTTTGTGCATGGAGTGTGCCTTTAGTCTGGCAACTAGGCTAGAGTCTGAGGGGCTGGGAGCAAGGAGGTTGTCCCTCTGTGCTGGGGGTGAGTAGTTTTCCGGGTGCTTGAAAAATTACGTTCATACCAGCAGCGATAACTCTGAAAAATTGCCGTTCTCTCCCTCTTTCTTTTTGCGTAAGGTACTGTGAGGCCCTGACCTACCTAGTCTATGCTTATCAGAGCAACATGCCCCTGCTGAGAGACCCAACAGAGGTGTGGATGAAGCTTTGATTGCTCTCTACAGAAGGAAGTGCCTCCTGGTTGGTATCAGCGGCAGTGATGAACATAAGAACATAAGAGAAGCCAATGTTGGATCAGGCCAATGGCCCATCCAGTCCAACACTCTTGTTGCACAGTGTCCAAAAATACCAGGTGCCATCAGGAGGTCTAGCAGTGGGGCCAGGACACCAGAAGCCCTCCCACAGTTGCCCCCCCCCCCAAGCACCAAGAAGACAGAGCATCACTTGCCCCAGAGTTCCTATCTATACCTTGTGGCTAATAGCCACCGATGGACCTCTGCTCCATATGTTTATCCAATTCCCCCTTGAAGCCGTCTGTGCTTGTAGCCGCCACCACCTCCTGTGGCAGTGAATTCCACGTGTTAATCACTCTTTGGGTGAAGAAGGACTTCCTTTTGGCCATTCTAATCCAACTGCTCAGCAATTTCATGGAGTGCCCAGGAGTTCTTGTATTGTGAGAAAGGGAGGAAAAGTACTTCTTCCTCAACCTGCTCTGTCCCATGCATAATCTTGTAAACCTTGATCATGTCACCCCTCAGCCGACGTTTCTTTAAGCCCTTCCCGGACTTCCTCCCCTCTTTGTGGGCAGGTTGTCAGCTTCTAGCTCACACCTGCATTTCTGTTTCCCTGTCTCTGCGTAAGCATTTGTGTCTTTGGGACCATTCCAGTGTGACCTGATAGTGGTATGAAGGTGGGGCTTTGCACTGTTAATGCTATAAAAATGCCTGTTGAAAATATCATCCCACTAGTCTGATATTTCTGCTTGTCACTTCCCCCTGTACTCTTTAAGACACAGGATTGGTCATTTTTATCATTTTTTGAGTATCTTGGTTTTAAGGTTGTATCCTATTCTGCTCCACTAACAACGCTGCCTGCCTTTATGCCTTTAACACAAGGCGATAGGATACATCCATCATATTTACTGAGTGTTACAGCTTTCGCAGTCTCACAGGTTCAGAGTGCGTAGCATAAATGTGCTTTTAAAAAGTTGACTATGCCTATTCGGGGCAGGTTAATGACCATGTCCCCGCCCGAACTTTCACTGTAAATCTAAAGCAATGGCAAGAGCTCTACAGATTTGTCACGAACACCCGGCTACTGTTTCTCATCTTGCTTTTCCACAGAAGTTGAACGATGCTGCGGCGACACTTTTTGAAAGCCATAGCGAAGTGCGTGTGGCCGAAGGCATAAACCACTTGAATGAGTTGATCATACCCTGCATGCACCTCATCGTCAGCAGCGACATCTCCAAAGCTGACCTGGATGCCATTGAGGTCATGAGGAGTCGTTGGTGTTCTTACCTGGGGAAAGACATGGATGGTAAGGAGCCCCTCCCTCTCTGTGGCTGTCCTGACCCCCTGTTACAGGCCCCAAAATCTTCCCTCCCCCCCTCTTGGCTTAGGATCCCCCCCCCAACATTGCTTGTGTCCCAGTCCAGCGGCCTCAGGACGAGGACCCCACCCCCCAGGGAGGCCCCGGCCAGGCCACTCATCCGGGGACCAGCAGAGGAGCGAGGCAGCGAAGACACCACGGCGACTCGCCACGGGAAGCCCCGGGAGAAATGACCATCGCCCACCCAGGGAGATGCGGCCATGCCGGCAGAGCATGGCCCCTCGGTTGGCCCCCTCGGCGCTCTATCCCAGGAAGCGGCGAAGCGGATGCCACTGAGGGAGGGCTGAGGGCGGGCACGATGGGGAAACTAAACTGCGGCGGCGTGGCCCCTGGGCCAACAGGACCACCGCCGGCACACCCACAACCACACCCGGAAGGACCAGAAGGTGTCCGAGCTTATCAAGGGGGGCGGGGCCAGACTGGGAATAGAGGAGGCGGGGATTACAGGTGGCATTGGGAATGGGGCGGGGTATAAAAGGGGAGAGAAGCGGACGAGCCGGGGAGGAGGAAAGTGCGAAGGAACGAGACGGAGAGAGAGAGAGAGAGAGAGAGAGAGAGAGAGAGAGAGAGACGGGACCAAAGGTGTTCCGCACACGTTGACAGAGGGACCTACGGGGTGACCATAGCCCCATCCCATGCCTATCTGAGTCCCCTCCGCAACTCCTCCTTTACGAACCCTCTCCAACTCCCAGGGCCGACACCACGGCCACGGGTGGATCGACTCTTGGGCCGCGAACGAAGCTTGACAGCTTGCTTCTGCGTTTCTTGGATCGGTGGTCTTCAGCAAAAGGCCGGTGAGGGGGGAGCCCTTCCGAGGCAGCAGCGATATCATCAAGAAGGGCTCAGTTTGTTTCAGAGCTGCTGTTTAACATAATGTGTTCAATGTTTACTGATTAAAACGTTCATATCCCATCTTTCCGGGCCAGGGGCCTGTGCAGAAGGGATGAACTCGGCTTGAACCGAAACGAAGCCAGATTGTAGCAGCAATCCGGTTGCAAAGTAGTTCTTAAGCAGTTGAGAGAGAAAGAGCCTCTGGTTTGGTGAAAGACACAGCTTCTGGGAGATGCTGAAAGATTTTCAGATTTGTCCGAATGGGGCAAAGTAGAAACTGTGGGGTATTAATGGTGCTCACTGTTAAGATGGGACTGCAGGTGTGCTGTTCTCTTCGCCCCCCAACCCCCTGTGAAAGTACTTGATGTGCAGTGCATGTTGAAGGCGTTCAGAAAGCTCTGCCTGGCATGCACAGCGTTGTTAAAGACGCCTGCCCTCCCTGAGGCCCCCCCTCGCCCCACCGTCTTGGGGCCCCAGCTCTGCTCACTGTGGCGGCCGGAGTGCACAGTCCATTTTAAAAAAACACACACACTTTTCTCTTTACTTTCTTTTTATCTTGGGGGTAGCGGTAGTCTGTCACTCACCACCAGAAGAACTGAGTTGGGTTTGTATCGGTACCAGTCTGAGCCCCGATGGCTTCTGGTCATCCCCTGACAGTTCCGCAATATGGAACGTCGCCTGCGTGTGCGCGCACCTGTGCCAGTGGGGGTGACGGGTGTGAGCTTCCCCCCCCCCCACCTCCCCCTTTCTCTGGTCGAGCTCCGACCCCGCTTCCCCTGGTAGAGGCATGATCAACGAGTAGATGGCCTGTCAGTAGTTTCATTCTGGTTCTCCAAAAGCAGATATCAGTTTTTAAAAGCTTTACTGGCTGAACATTCTAGAAAGCATAAGTATTTGGGAATGATCTATAGGCCGGTAATTTCACTTTGGATTAATCCATTCAGTTCAGAAGTATGGATTAAAGGGTGTGTGTGTGTGTGTGTGTGTGTGTGTGTGTGTGTGTGTGTGAAATGCCAAGCTGCTCCTGACTTCCAGCGACCCCATGAATGACTGACCTCCAGAACACCCCATCGCTAACAGCCTTGCTCTGGTCTTGCAAGCGGAGGGCCTTTGTGGCTTCCTTGATAGAATCAGTCCATCTCAGGTTGGGGCTTCCTCCTTTCCTGCTGCCTTCCACTTTGCCTGGCCCGATTGTCTTTTCCAGCGACTCTTGTCTTCTCATGATGTTTATTTATATTTATTTATAAATTCAATTTATAGTCCTCCCTCCCCGCGGCGCGGGCTCAGAGCGGCTCACAATAGGCATAAGCCAACAGATAAAGCAAATTAAAACCATAATTTTAATTGCTTATGATGTGCCAATGTAGGATAGTCTCAGTTTGGTCATTTTAGCTTCTAGGGGGAGAGTTCAGGCTTGGTTGGGTCTCGAACCCACTGATTTGTGTTTTGGGCAGTCCACAGCAGTGTTCCCTCTAAGCTGAGTTAGTGTGAGCTAGCTCACAGTTTTTTAGCCTCCGGCTCACACATTTTTGTCTTGGCTCAGGAAGGAGGGCTCCAGAGCAAACTGATCTATGCAGTGGCCAAATCGCTTGCTCACAACTTAAATGCAAGTAGCTCACAAAGTAGAATTTTTGCTCACAGGATTCCATAGCTTAGAGGGAACATTGGTCCACAGCATCCATAAAATTCTCCTGTAACACCACATTTCAAATGAATCACCTTCCTTCCCGTCCCTGCACCAAACTCAATTGTCGTGGACAGAACTGAAGTCCCTGGTGCAAATGGGCAAAGGCCAGGAATACGTCACCAGGACAATGACCAGATGGCCAAATAGGCCGAATTGGTGTGTTACTTCTACTTGTCCCTCCCCTGTCTTTCAGTGTACAACGGTCAGCCTTCCTTCTGGGAAGGTTGTTGGAGACCTTATTGCCCACTTCAAACAGAGAAGTCATGTTAATCCAGCCATAGCATACATGAACCCTGGGAAAAGTAGGCCATATAAAATTTACTGACTTGAGTTCTGTTTGTAGCATATTGAGAGATCCAGAGGGGTGGAAGAGGAATTTGTATGCGCTGCTGTCACTATGACATCTTGAGTTAAAAGAAAAGTGCATTGTGATCAGAGGTGAAAGGGTGGGTGAGTGTGGATGAAGTTTTTGGCAAGAAAAAGTCTAAGGGTGGTGCACATGGGAACAAAAACCTCCCGTGTGTTCTGGTGGGGGTCTAAAGTAGCAGAAATGGAAATGGAAGGATCTTGGGATTGTAGTGGATAGCTCAATGAAAATGCCAACTGAGTGGTGAAGAAGGCATACTACATTCTGGAGATTATTAGGGAAGCGACTGCAAATAAAATATCCAATACTATAATGTTTTTATGTAGAGTTAAGGTGCAGCTAAGGGAACTGCGGTGGTTCAAGTGGTTAAGACGCTGAACTGCAGGCTGTGAGAGGTCGGTAGTTCAGCAGTTCGAGACCCGGGGGTGCCGCATGACGGAGTGAGCTCCCGTCTCTAGTTCCAGCTCCTGCCAACCTAGCAGTTCGAAAGCAAGAAATTGCAAGTAGATAAATAGGTACTACTTCGGTGGGAAGGGAACAGCGTTCTGTGTGCCTTGGTGTTTAGTCATGCCGGCCACATGACCACGGAAACGTCTTCGGACACCGCTGGCTCTTCGGCTTTGAAACGGAGATGAGCACCGCAACCCTAGAGTCAGACTTGACTGGCTTTCGGGCAAGGGAACCTTTACCTTTTAAGGTGAAATTGGAAGGGTTGCGGCTCAGTGGGGAAGTCCCTGCTTTGGCTGCAGAAGGTCCCAGATTCCGTCTCCAGCAGCACGACTGGTTTCTGCCCTGACCTGGATGGCCCAGGCAAGCCCGATCTCATCAGATCTCAGAAGCTAAGCAGGGTTCATACTCGGATGGGAGTCCGCCGAGGGATATCAGGGGTTGCAACTTGCTATTCAGAGGCAGGCAATGGCGAACTACCTCTGAACGCTTCTTGCTTTAAAAATCCTACAGTGTCATAAGCAAGGCTCCCTCTAAGCTGCAGAGCCTTGTGAGCAAAAATTCTACTTTCTAAGCTACTGGCATTAAAGTTGTGAGTGAGTGATTTGGCTACTGCGTAAATTAGTTTGCTCTGGAGCCCTCCTTCCTGAGCGAAGGCAAAAATGTGTGAGCCGGAGGCTAAAAAACTGTGAGCTAGCTCACACTGACTCAACTGAGAGGGAACACTGGTCATACGTCACCAGCAAATTGTCAGCCCCCCCCCCCCCCCAAAAAAAAAAAAAAAAAAAAAAAATGTCACTGTATTTCAGAAAGGATATTGCAGAGCTGGAAAAAGTATATCGGGGACAACTGAAATGATTGATGGGTTGGCGCACCTGTACTTTGAGAAAAGCTAAAGAGAGTCTGGGTCTTCTCAGTTTAGAAAAGAGACAAATGGGGGGTGGGGTGGAGAACGGGGTTAGAGAGGCTTCTTTGCCCTCCATGACGCTAGAACTTAGGGGCGGGCACCCAATGAAGAAGAAGGAGAGGAGACTGGATTTATACCCCGCCCTTCACTACCCAAAGGAGTCTCAGAGCGGCTTACAAACTCCTTTCCCTTCCCCTCCCCACAACAGACACCCTGTGAGGTATGTGGGGCTGAGAGAGCTCTTTCCAGAACTGTCCTTGAGAGAACAGCTCTGACACAGCTATGGCTTGCCCAAGGTTACACCAGCAGCTGCAAGTGGAGGAGTGGGGAATCAAACCCGGTTCTCCCAGATTAGAGTCTGCTCACTTAACCACTACACCCAACTTGCTGGGTGGGCAATAGATTCAGTACAGACCAAAATAAATGTTTCTTTATTCAGCGAGTAGTTCGAGGAGTTTGCCGCCAGTGTGGGCCATAGGCCGTGAGCACAGATGTCTTCATGATGGATGTAGTTCAGATCCATGGAGGAGAGGTCCATCGATGGCTACTAGCCACGGTGACTAAAGGGAGCCTCGGTATTCAGAGGCTCTGAATACCAGTGCTAGGAGGGAACATCAGGGGAAGTCGTTGGCCCCCAAGCCCTGTTTTCGGGCCCTCCCTCCAGGGCAACTCGTTGGCTGCTGCGTGGAGCAGATGCTGGACTAAACGGAGCGCGGGTCTCAGGGGCGGATTAAGGCTCACTGGTGCCCTAAGCACTGACCAACCTTGGTGCCCCCGATCTTGGTGTCGTAGCCTATGACCCTGCACCTCGCCAACAAAGAACAGAAGATAACCCTAGGGTGCACCATGATCAATTTGCACTGGTTTTATCAATATATATATGTATATATATATATTTGTTTTCACCCTTTCCCCAACTTTGTGGTGCCCCCTTTGGCCTTGGTGCCCTAAGCACATTCTTAGTCTGCTTAATGGTTAATCTGCCCCTGATGGGTCTAATTCAGTGGAGTCCCTGTTATGTTCACATGTGCCTGTGTTGTGGATGGAGCTGATGGGTGCTGCTCACTTCAACCAGCAGAGGGTGAACAGCATCAAGCGAAGGGTGTGGACAAAACCCTCCCTTGGTCTCAAAGCGCCGGTCAGCTAGTTGCCTGGCTGTCCCTGACGTCAGCTGTTCCCAGGCTGTACGTGGCGTCCGCTGCTTGTGCTTCAGAGGAGGAGGTCTCAGCCAGGGAATCAAAGCACAGGCCTTGAAGATACTTAGTTCAGACTTTTTTTTCTCTCTTTTTAATTGTCGGGCACGTTCTTTCCTTTTTAGAGGACTTGCAGTTGAAGTTGGGCGAACTGCTGCCCCGTCTGCTGGACTGCTCCGCAGAGGGAGTCGTGTTGAAAGAGCCCCCCAAGATCCGCCCCAACTCGCCCTACGACCTCTGCAGCCGATTTGCAGCCGTGATGGAGTCGATCCACCGGGCCTCCACTGTGAGGGTCAGCTAAATTTGCAGACTTGACTGTACGGAGCGCCGGAGGCACGTGAAGTTCAGCTACGGCCCATCTTCAAGGTTATGCAGGGAGGGAAGAGCCGACACCGATCTGGGCAACTCACATCTGAATGGAACTGATAATACGCCCAGAAAGGGGCTGAAAAGACCAGGGTGCTTTTTCCTTTAAATATGCACCAAGTGAGGGCATGCACTGATGTTCCACAGCACGTGTTTGCCTAGAACAGTGTTTGCCTTTTTTTATTCTTACAAGAACACACAGGTGCTGTGCAAATTTTAAATGAAATACTGTTCAGATTTTATTTCATTTCATTTGTGCACAATGCACATCATCAGTAAAATACTTACTCCCCTGTAAGCATTCCACACACAATCCACCACATTTCAGTGAACCTGGCACATGCACCGGTTGGTTTCGCATGCACCGTTCACACATTAACCCGGTGCCTGACTGGAGCACTTGACAGGTGGCGTGCAAACACTGCCTGCAGGTGAGCCGGTGCATGTGGCGTGCGCATTGTCAGGGAGATGGGGTGCATGTGGAATGTGGGTAAGAGTTCTACTCACGACTTGCCTTGCATACATGTTGATGCTCAGTGACGCCAGAACAGGACTTGGGTCTGCAAAAGTCATGGGGGGGGGGGATGTTCGCTAACATCTCTCTTTTTAAGAGGGAGTTCAAACGCTGTCAGCTTTAGCTGGAAGCACAGCCTGTGTTTCGTGTGACAGAACTTAAGCGGCACAGGGATGGAACCAGCTGCCTGTGTGGTGAGTGATGCAGGCGTTCAGGCAAGCCAGTGTGTGTCTCAAGACTCTCAACCAGGTGCAGCCAGCCAAACACGGTGGTTGGTTGCTGTTGCCCCAGGGGAATCAGCGACGGAGCCAAGATTGTGCACTGGCAAAAGCATTGAAGTCATTCCAGTGCAGAGGGCTGAGGTGGGAAGCCACCGCTCAAAAGAAAATGGTCTTTTCCCCTGACATCCCACAATATTTCCATCAGTGCCAGTCACAGCATTTAATGACCAGGGTAGAATCTGAGGCGCATGGTATGTTGAAGTCCAAGATTAACCCCCCCCCCCTTTTTTAACAATATGCACATTCTGAAGAAAAGCATCTGCCAGTCTGTTTTTAAATGGCCTTCGTTTTATTGGAATACTGACAAATCAGGTTGTAAATGGAAGCCTTTGTATTTGACAAGCCTTTTCAGTAAATAAAATGCAATAAATATTTTGTTGCCCTATTTAAACACTGGAGTCGTTTGCTTTCGTTCTTTTGAGGTCTGAGCCCAGAAGTTGGTGGATGGGGTGGGGGAAGAGTGGGCACTGTCTCAGGTTTGATTGGAACCTCCCTTAAACCTAAGGACTAAATGTTGGATTCCCAGACAGAAGTATTTGGTGTGGCCTGCCTGCTGTCGCGGTGGTGGAAAGTGTTGTCCAGTCGCAGCCGACTTTGGTGACCCTGCAGGGTTTCCAAGGCAAGAGACGTTCAGAGGTGGTTTTGCCCTTGCCTGCCTGCACAGCAACCCTAGGCTTCCTTGGTGGCCTCCCATCCAAATACCAACCAGATCGGACCCTGCTTAACTTCTGAGATCTGAGGAGATGGGGCGAGCCTGGTCCCTCCAGGTCAGAACATCTGCTGTTCTTTTCAGCCGTTGTGCTTGAGAGGAAGAGATTGGGTTTATACCCTGCCCTTCACTCGGAGTCTCAGAGCGGCTTGCAAACTCCTCTCCCTTCCCCTCCCCACAACAGACACCCTGTGAGGCAGGTGGGGCTGAGAGAGCTCTGACAGAAAGTGCTCTTTTTCAAGAACAGCTGTTGTCAGAACCACGGCTTGCCCAAGGTCATCCAGCCAGGTGCAAGTGGAGTAGGAGTGGGGGATCAAACCCAGTTCTCCCAGGCTACAGTCCGCGCACTTAATCACTACACCAGACTGCCTCATGTCTCTGCCAGGGTGCTGGTGGTCTTCCCATCTGGGGAACTGGTGGGTCAGCATGTGGGGGGAGGGCGCTGTGCCGTGCTCATGGCAGCGGGGGCAGGGAGTGTCAAGGGGCCCGAATGGTTTGTCTTTCCCAGGATGCTTTCGGCAGTCCTCACTTGGGGACTGCAGTGTATAAGGGGCTCTTAGGGTTCCGATTCGGCTTTGGGCGTGTGAACTGAGCAAGCACTCCTGCCACGTTTTGTACCAGTGGGATTCAGGTTGATTACTTGGAAGGAAACCGAACCTCCGCCCTAAACCAACAGAGCATCTGGATGTCATGAGGTGAAACATAAGGATCCTACCTTTCCTTAATCAGATTTCCTTGAAATCTGTCCAAGGAAAGCATTGACATGTGCTGTTGATGAGCAGAGCATAGATTTACAAAAGCTTATGCTAATGTTTCCTCCTGGCTCCACTTCCTCACTATATGAAATCAGAACCACTCGTCTTCTCAGCGGCTGTCGAGGTGGAACCGTAGGATGGCCTCCGGGTTGCCATTCAAGACAATCGCGTTGACAGAGCCGTGGTGGCCAGTAGAGGGGACCCCGCTGTGTAGTTGTGACTGCAGAACACGGGAGGTCTGTCTTCTGTTTAGTCAGGCTTAGGACATGGATGCTTTCGGGGAGCCTCAGGCGGCTTCCACAGTAGGGTGCTGTTGCACTAATCTCTGTCTGCAAAGGACTGTAAGTGGAATTGAAACGGCCGCATGGCACTTAATACAGCGTTAGAATCCCCATAAAAGTCCAGACACAACCAGCCTCCTGCGCAAGGCTTTGCAGCATGAAATGGGACCTGTGTTTCCCTCTGAGTAAACAGAGAAGTTTCCTTTCTATTCGTTTAGATTGTGGAGCAGACTGCCTCCTGTTCTCTTTGTAGCCACACACACTATTCATGAGTCTATAAGTTAATCAAAATGGTGCCCGTTTTGTGATGCTGAGGGGGGGGGTTGGAAAAAAAACCCCAGCACTGCCAGTTTGGTGTAGTGGTTAAGTATGTGGACTCTAATCTGGGAGAACTGGGTTTGATTCCCCACTCCTCCACTCGCACCTGCTGGATGACCTTGGGCAAGCCATAGTTTTGTCAGAACTGTCCTTGAAAGGGCAGTTATTGAAAGAGCTCTCTCAACCCTGCCTACCTCACAGAGTGTCTGTTGTGGGGAGGGGAAGGGAAAGGAGTTTGTAAGCCACTCTGAGTGAAGGGCCGGGGTATAAATCCAATCTCCTCTTCTTCTTTTCACTTTGTGGGTGAAACCACCTCTCATTTCTGGTTTTCTGTTAAATGGAATGGTTGTGTTTGCATTCAACATGAAGAACAGTACTTATCAGTTATTTGCAGGGGATGAGGGACTGATGATAATCATGATAAAATTAACATCTGGAATCTGCCAACTTTATCGGGCTGTTCAATTTCCCCTTTCATGGTCACATAATTCTGTGCAGCTCAGCTTAAAAATGACAGTTATTGTTGCTAAACAATTGTGCTAAAAGTTAATGTCATGAATGCCCTGATCACCCGTGGGAGAAAACAGGAAATAATTTGGTGGGAAGCACAAGGAAAGGGAGACATATTTTAAAGGGACAGTAGCCCTGAGAAATCTCAGTCGTGCTTTATCCACGCTGGATAATCTGGCACTCCAATGGCCGATTTATCCAGATGGATAGCCATGTTGCTCTGTCTGTAGCAATAAAAAAGAGGGAGAGTCCAGTAGCAGCTTAAGGACCAACAAAATTTGTGGCACGGTAGGAGCTTTCGTGAGTCACTGCTCACTTCAGATATCTGAAGAAGTGATATCAGAAGAAGAACCTGAAGAAGGGAGCAGTGACTCACAAAAGCTCATACCCTGTCTCAAATGTTGCTAGTCTTTAAGATGCGACTGGACTCTTGCTGTTTTCTACAATGGCAGTTTTGTTTTCTCTAATTTTAAAAAAGTGGCCACAAGTCAGACCTTGAAAAGGATGGGAGGACAGGGTGGGAAACACTGGAATGCAATGATTTGCTGATGACATCTGATTCCAAGTGAACTTGATATGCATTCAGATACTTACAAATCCTGGCTTGCCTGCTTCTTGCTTCCCAGCAGGGTGGACATCTACTGGTTGCAGTAGATGACTGTGTTTGAATTCAAATGTCACCCCAAACCAGGTAGAGCAAGCTGTGGTTGATGAGCTAGTTACAAATCTAGCTTCAAACCCCAATTTGGAATTGATCAACAAATCTTAACGTGTTGACCTGTTTGCATTTAGACTTCATAGCTAACTCGGGTTTGATCAAATCATGGTTTATTGTGATGTCTGAATGTGTCCTAAGTGAATGAATGGTGGCGGTTCCACAGCTACTGGTACGGAAGCAACTTTTATTTTTGCATCCCTTAATCGTTGCCAGCAAGTCTTAAGCAGCAAGTTTTTATCCACGTCTTGTGAAAAGCAAACAAAGTTCCAGTGTTTTAAGTACTTAATCACCTTCTAAACTCTGACAATACCTGCGGAATTTGATACCCGGCTGTTGACACTAGATCCAATTTCCAACCCATCTTAGGCTCCAAATCACATTTGAAATTCTCTGCAGTGCCTGGTCATGCCTTTTTTTTCTTTAGGGTTCATGTTTATGTTCCTTTGGGTGCTACGGGCAATCCTCAACACAGAGACTACTCCCTCTTTCTGTGTTATACCTCTGAGGATGCCAGTCACAGCTACTGGTGAAACGTCAGGTCCCACAATGCCAAGACCACGGCCAGACAACCCGGAAAATCTACAACAGCTAACAATCCTGTTAATAGTTGAAAACACACTGTGTGAAAACACTTGCTTCAGGGCACAGATTTCCAAACCAAGGGTCTCTTTTTAAGCCTCCTTGAGGGATTCAGAAGCTTAGCTCAGCCAGTGAGCGAAGTAGAAACCATTCCGACAGTCTCAAATCTTTGTTAGAAACAGGGCAGTGCGTAGAGCTCAGATGACAAGGTCGGCGTTTTTGGTTGCAGTGTATTGATGCCGATCTGGCAGCCTGGGTTGATTTGGTGCCTCTCGCCGAGGGTAGGTGGGCAGCACGTGGGATGGCTCTTGAGTCTCCTGCCGACAGGTGGAGCAGATGAAAAGGAGCCCACCGACCAGAAGGAAAAAGCCAGCAAACCAGCCCAAGAACAAAGCGTCCCCAAATTCCCACCTTGGAACAATCTCGGGCACCGTCTCATCCCAGAATTCCTGCACAGTGTTGTAGGCAACCCAGGAGACTGGCACCAGGGTGACGATTCCAGAGAGGCAGAATAAAATTCCCCCGGCCACCCCGAGCTGCCTCTTCAGTTCTGTGTTCTTGTCGCTTGTCTTCAGACAGTTCATCCCCCAAAGAGAGAGGAAGAACGCAAGAAATCCCAGGCCATTGGCGGCGATCATTAAAATCCTCGCTAGTCGAAATACGATGGGCAAGGCCAGCAGCGAGTCGTAGGCTTTGCACTCCGTGGCACCCTCCTCTTGGATCACGCAGGCGTGCCACAGGCCCATGTTCCACACTTCCAACACATTCAAGTCCATGTTCAAGTTTTTCCAGAAAGGCACGATGGTTGTCACGCAAGAAGAGACCCACCCGAAGAAGGCGAGAAGCATTCCACCCAGCTGAGCTCTGGAGCTGGGAGGCCAAGCCATGTCCAAGCCCCTGGAAGGGGGTCCACGGCGCACCTCGTTCCTCGAGGCAGCCCTGGAGGCTTCGGTGAGAAGTGTGCCACAGCAATCCCTTTAGGGGAGCATGAATGTGCTGCAGGTACCAATGCAGCCGCTCTGATTTGGCACTTGCTTTCACAGTAGAGGTGCAGGGGGAGGAATCGAAGGGAATGACTCTTAATTCCTGGGCGTAGCCAGGATCCTTTTTCATGTGTTCGTTTGGCTCTTCTTTTGTAAACTGCCAAGACTGACGCGGCTGGAAATCCTTCGTCTGCACGAAGGACACAAGTTTCTGGGCTCATCCGACTGCAGCAGTTGGCTCACCCTTTCCCAGCACATGACTGGGCATGAATGTGGCAGAGGCAGAAACTTCCATAACAGCCACTAAACCACAGGCAAAGATTATATGTTTTGTTGTAGATTATATAATGCTCTTGAACATGCAGTGTGAAACTCCAATATACTGAGGATGGTAGTTGCTCTCTGCCTTTCTGTGGACTCCAACCACACCTGTCAGCCTTTGTCCAATGACAGGTAAGAGAATCAAACTCCCCCCCCCCAATGCCTTCTCTGGGGCTTTCTGGATGCGCAAGCTGACCTTCTTAACGCATGGGTAAGTGTCCTCCACTCATTCTTTGGTCCCATTCAGTTCTAGGCAGCTGAACCACTGAATAGCCCAGGGGCTCGGATCCTCCATAACAAACAATGAAACAAAGATCATTGTGGCAGATGAAGGAAGGAAAGGGACGGCACAGACTAGAAGCAAAGTGCTGCTGATGCTGTCCTAAATTCACAAGGAGGAGATTGGATTCATACCCCGCCCTTCACTACACAGACACCCTGTGAGGCAGGTGGGGCTGAGAGAGCTCTGACAGAAACTGCTCTTTTTTCCAGAACAGCTCTTATCAGATCTATGGCTTGCCCAAGGTCAGTGGCGGCGAACCTATGGCACGGGTGCCAGAGGTGGCACACAGAGCCCTCTCTGTGGGCACACGTGCCATCGCCCCAGCCAGGCCCAGACCGTCATTAAAGTGTGGCATTCTCTGCCAAATAATTTTAAGTAAATGAAAGCATTTGGGATTGCTTTCCTTACTTTGTTTGGATCATCTTAAGCTAATGTATGAGTTGTTTTTTTTCTAAACTAAAACCTCAGTATTCAGGTTAAATTGCTGTGTTGGCGCTTTGCGATAAATAAGTGGGTTTTGGGTCGCGGTTTGGGCACTCGGTCTCTAAAAGGTTCGCCATCACTGCCCAAGGTCATCCAGCAGCTGCAAATGGAGGAGTGGGGAATCAAACCTGGTTCTCCCCGATTAGAGTCGGCGCACTTAACCACGACACCAAGCTACACCAAGAAGAGAGGGTGAACTGTAGTTGCCAAGATCTGAGGCTCTGCTAGGCGACATTCCAGACGCCCAGCCAGTGGCTACCTGAGAAAATGCTTCCTACAATGATGTTTTTAACCAGGTCCCTTGAAACTTACTTCATCCCGACACTTCCATCCTCCGCTCTGACCTCAGGACTGGCACTCGTCAGTTCCCAAGGGCTTCCAAGCGACTGGCCCGTAGCCAGGTGGGCCATTATGCAAGTCGTCTTGAGAAAGTAGCTGCACCTGCTGTTCTTGCTGAAATGTCCAGGAGGCCACTTGAGCATCAGAGGGGGATGCGCCCAGCTTGCTCAAGGTGTGGCTGGCGAAGGCTGCCCAGCACAGGACGGCTTGTGCAATTGGCATAATGGGCAGATAAACACCAGGGCTCTTCTTGGTCACATGCCACCCTCTCGAGTAGCTTTTGGAGCTTGGTAGTCGTGCGTGCTAAAGCCTTTGACTGTGTGGATCACAACAAACTATGGCAGGTCCTTAAAGAGATGGGAGTACCAGACCACCTCACATGTCTCTTAAGAAACCTGAATAAGGGTCAAGAAGTGACAGTCAAAACCGGATATGGAACAACTGATTGGTTTAGCATAGGAAAAGGAGTATGACAAGGATGTATATTGTCACCTTGCTTATTTAATATATATGCAGAGTACATCATGCGAAATGCTGGCCTGGATGAATCACAAGCGGGAATTAAGATTGCGGGGGAAAAGATCAACAACCTCAGATATGTAGATGATACCACTCTGATGGCAGAAAGTGAAGAGGACCTTAAGAGCCTCTTGCTCAGAGTAAAAGAGGAGAGCGCAAAAGTAGGCTTGAAGCTCAACAAAAAAAAAACTAAGATCATGGCATCCGGCCCCATCACTCCTTGGAAAATAGAAGGGGAAATCGTGGAAGTAGTGACAGACTTCATGTTCCTGGGATCCCAGATCACCGCAGACTGTGACAGCAGCCATGAAATTAAAAGACGCCTGCTCCTTGGGAGGAA